AAAAGGAAGAGAAGCCAGAGGAATAAAAATGAGAAGAGACCAGAAGGACTGATTAGCGGAGCCAAAATCCTCCAAAAACATTACAGTGGAATTTTGGGGGGGTATCACAGGCATGACAGAACAAAGGCCTGGTCAAGTTTTTCCTGCACTTTCCCTCTGAAGACAGCTCTCATTTTAATTGTTGTCTCTATAAGGCCCAGGTGGCTGATGGCCTCTCCCTTTAGATGTGGTCCCTCCAGCCCAAGTTTGCAGAGTGGCCTGTCACTCTAGATGCTACCCTGGGGAGCTGCAGCCTGCCCCTCACCAATGAGGCCTGGGAAGGGCTGGCTGAGTCCCACAGTCCCTGCCAACACTAGGAGCAGCTTGTCTGCCATAGAGAAATCTCCTTATTTGAGGTGAAAAGACAGCATGGGCCGTGAATTTATGTTGGTAGTTACGCACAGTGCATGTTTTTGACCAGGGATCACTTCATTGTTTAAAACATAACATTTCCATCCACAGTTGATCTACCAAAATTAATGATTTCATTTTGATAATGATATCATTTTGATATCAAATGATATCAAAATAATAATGACCATCTTGAAAATGATAATCGTTTTAAGGTCATTTGTAGAGGAATTAGCAAATTCTTTCACTAGGAACCAAACAAGAATAACTTCTACCATTTATTGAACATTTGCTACATGTTTGGCATTTTACATGTTTTATCTCAATACTCACAAAAATCGTAGGAGTTGGGTATTATCTCAGTTTTACAAAGAAGGAAATAATACGAAAGGTGGAGGCACTATCTTCATCCTAGGAACCAGCACATTTTAAATTAGCAGAACTCTTAAATACTAGCTAAATTTTGTCAGTATGATTGTGAGACTTTTCAAATATATTCATTTTTCTTCAATCACAACCATAATCTGCCTTTTGCATTCTTTCCCCTGACTAATGATAAATTGAAAGCCACTCCTCATTGGTATGGAAAAAGGAAGTTATGGACTAAAATTATAAATGCTGTTGGTAAGTCTCCAACTACGAATAATGGAATTCCTACTGATTTTTTAGGTTTGAGTGGGATTTTAGATTTGAATGGGATTTTCAATTTAGGTTTGTATAGGTTTATTCATGAATCGGAGCCAGCTCTCCTTCTTCACTGAATCTGTACCATTAATATAACCACCTTTACCCTACAATTTAGACTTTTGTATAATGGTTTTATATTTCTTAAAAATTTAAAGAATATAAAATTTGTTACAAAAGGCCACCATTAAAACGCTACAGCTAGTTTTACACACACACACACACACACACACATACACACACACACAGAGACACACAGACACACGCCTTTTGTAAGTCTTTGTGTTCAATAGAGGGCACCACAGCACAGATCATGAATGTCTTCAATGAAGATTTGTAGGTTTTATGTTTTTCAGCTGTTTACTTTTAAATTAACTCAGCTAAACAGGCTGAATTAACTTTTTTCTACATCAAACTGCTAATCTTCCACATACTATATACAGACGTGTATGTATGTCATCATATTGGGCTCAGTGGACCCAAGACATCTTTTGCTAGGACTAAATGATCTTGTATACCTATATATTGTTCTCAATTAAACCAAGATACAATAATACCTAATAAAATCATGTTGAGGAAAACCAGATTTTCAACTGTGTCCAATTCAAGGAAAAAACAGGTTTTACTTTGTTTAAAGTTGTTATGAGGAAGGAAATAACTTTTGAGTCATGTTGTACATATCTTTTTAGAAATTCCTTTAAAATCCTAGAGACTATTTTTTGTTCCTTTTACAAAGGCTTGAAAATGATATACATTTTATTTTTATGAAAGCTTCTAAAAATGACATTTTATTGACTGTTTTACAAAGTACTCTTTATATTAAGTTTGAATTTGATTTTCTGCTATTCGATTTGTTTGTGGAACACGTGGCACAAATGTGACTAAGGAAAAAATAGTATTTAATATTATAATAGTGGTAATCACAACCCTCTATGATAGATAGTAAACCAAATAGTATTGAGAATGAACTAATTATGCTTACTGAATGAGATGGGAAAACACACTCAAAAGTTTGCATTTTAATTTTTTAATTCTTCTTTTTATTTTCCTTTTTTTTTTTTTTTTTTTAAGAGACAGAGTCTTACTCTGTTGCCCAGGCTGGAGTACAGTGGCACAATCTTAGCTCACTACAGCCTCAATTTCCTGGGCTTGGGTGATCCTCCTGCCTTAGCCTCCTGAGTAGCTAGGACTATAGGTGCACACCACCGTGTCTGGCTGATATTTTCAATTTTTTTGTAGAGATGCGGTCTCACTCTGTTGCCCAGGCTAGTCTTGAACTCCTGGCCTCCAGGGATCCTCCCAAGTTAGCCTCCCAGAGTACTAGGGTTATAGGCAGAAGCCTGATTGAATTTTAAATTTCAGAATGAAATACCTGACTATAAAATAAAAAGCATAAATTAAAAAATTACTTTTGCTTATTTAAAACTCATACCCATAGAGCATATATTTAGCCAGTGAGTGAGAGAGGGGATTCCAAAAACCAAAACTGTGCCTAGCAGACCCGCTGTGTTTGAAACGCTGGCCCTGTGTGAGTGTCCGGGTGTTCCTTCCCCATCCACATCTTCAGAATTGTGAGCTGGGTGGGCCAGGTTCCCTCTTTTTTCACCTGGATGTCCCCCAGATGGCAGTATTGAGCAGAAAAGACTGGGAAATAATGAGTCTAATGTACAGTAAAATTGGAAATTGAATTATAGCGCAAGAAAAAGGACAGTAGCCTTGAGGTCCCGATCAACCTGGACTCTGATCACTTTTGTTTGCTGTACCCATGTGTTAGGTTACTAGCAAGTTAATAACGGCGCGTGAGCGGTTCAAGGCTCAGTAAAATTGCTTCAGACGTGAAATAAAGCTAAAATGAATTTGTGTCCAATATCATTGGCATTAGTGCTCATTACTTTTGTAGTGTAATGCCTCAAACCATCTAAAATCAATTTTAAAGATTACCCATTATTTTATAAAGAAAATAAAACACAATCCCAAGAGAAACAAAGCAGTGCGTATAATCCTATGAACAGTTACTTGTATTATGGCTGGCAGGAAACCACTGACAGAAGGCCACGGGAAACACTCTGCTCAAACTTTACAGAGAGTCCGAGTTAATATTAATGGGTTGTTGCTATATAACTCTTCTCTTAATTTGATGTATTTAAAACAAGAATGGTAAACACTGGTAAATGTAGAGAATAAATCTTGAAGAGTAGTAAAAAGGGATTTACTACTTAGCTACTTGTACTTGGTAAATTAATCTATATCATGTGACATGATCTTCTTCTGGGAGAACCCAGGGCAGAGGACACAGAAGGAAAGGAAGTATTTAGCTGCTTTGCTTGAGATTTTGCCTTTTAAAAAGCACAAAGGTTTTACTTTTCCTTTTAGTAGACCAGTAAAGAATATTTTCTCAAACTGTTTGTAAGCCTGTTGAAGCAAAGAGGATGGCTAGGTTTTGGTTTTGATACGGTGCACTTTTAGATATTTGCCTTTATCCAGAAATGATTCTGTTTTATTTTGAAGAAAAGGACTTGGTTGGTATTCTAATGACCTTGGATTTTAACTAAATTGATATTAATGGCCAAAGAGATTTACTTTCCTAATTACTTGTTTAAACATGCAGGATATAAGGTAAGGTTCATTTGGTCTGAAACACATGATCTCTTTTTCATAGATCTTTATATGAAAAATCCCATGTTGGGCAAAATTATACTTGGATTTTAGTGTTCTAGTTTTGTTCCTTACATCTGGTCTTAGTGTCTCGTATTCTGTCATTATTGAACTATTAATAGATACTAAATTATCATAATGCCAAAATCTTTGCTAAAAAGATAAAACTAGTTTTTATTTAAATATAAAGGTACAGTTTGACTTGATTTCACATGCTAAAACATGTATTTCAGAAAAAACACATTCACCGATAGTATGAATTTGTACATGTATAGATTTTGCTAAAGGATAGTTTTTACTCTTCTGTGTAGTTCTAATGCACTAGTTGAAATTTGTACTATCTTTGTAAACTTTGATCTGGAATGTGGGAAGACCAGTATGTATGTACTCATCACAAAATTATATTTTAACTATATAAAATTGGCTGGAATCAATTTTATTAGGTTACTCATTTTGGCAATGTAGAGATGCAGTGCCACTGAAGTTCTGGAGAAATTTGTAGTCAACTTTAGATATTAAAAAAAAAAAAAACCTACCTCTTACACGAGCCCTTGTAAACATGTACTTATGTACATAAACGTACTTGTAAAGTTTTAAAATGTAAAACATGCTGAGAAATGTATTGACTTTTTCATATAATTTTTAATAGTAGTTGAAAGTTTTGATGTTTCACGACAGCCTATCCAGTAAAGATCACTGAATTGACATGCTGTTGGCAATAAATTTTTTTTAAGTAGAATAAATTTCTATGACTATATAAGCAAAATATTTCCATAATTAATCCACATGGTCATAACAGATGGTTAAATTGAAGAAATGTCCTTGAAGTTATTCTTTTAACAGATGTTCTTAACTATTGGCTTCATGTTTTTACTCACCTAAATTTCCAAATAATTGAATAAAAGTTAGCATATGCTTTCATCCCTTTAATAGGCAGAGCTCATAATTGATGCAAAGTTTACCATAGTAGAGAAATTGCTTCAGTGGTACATTTCTAATGTTTTTCTTTCTCCTACCCTATAACTGACCATTCCTGTTCACCGATTGTTTTTCCTTTTTTTTGTTTTACACAGAGTCCTACAGAATGCACTTTTGCTTTCGGATAGCAGCCTTCACCTCTTCTTGCAGAGCCAACTGAATTCCGAAGACATTGAGGCGTGTGTTTCAGGACAGACTAAGTACTCTGTGGAAGAAGCAATTCACAAGTTTGCCTTGATGAACAGACGTTTCCCTGAAGAAGATGAAGAAGGAAAAAAAGAAAATGATATAGATTATGATTCAGAAAGGTATTTCCCTGCGTTTTGATTTAACGTGTATGTATTTATATAACACACAGCGCACATATGCATGCGTATAGAAATATACGCATACTTCACTTTTTTGTTGATGTAATACTAAGATAATGAAAAAATTAATTGACTGAGATTTTATTGAGCTGTGACAGCTCATCATAGTAGTCTTCACACACACCTCCACACCGAATTAATGAATGCAGTAGAAATTCAATTATCTGCATTCTGATTATGTGACTTTCATTTAGTCAGACTTGAATTATTCGCGTTTAAATTATCTAGCTAAAAAAATATCCAACTGCACTCCAAATGGCTAATTAAAAGTCCAAATTTCCTGTCTCTCTTTGTGACTGGAGATAATTAAAGTTCTCCTCTGTTACTCAGGCTTTGAGTGTGTTGTGAAAACCAATTTCCTCTTTTTATTATTTTCCCCCTCTCTTCTTTTCCAGTTCATCCTCTGGGCTTGGACACAGTAGTGATGACAGCAGTTCACATGGATGTAAAACAAGTACAGCTCCGCAGGAATCCTGAAAAATAATTCTAATGTTACTATCTTAGGAATAGCAAATTATGTCCAGTCATAGGGAAGAAAAGCTTGCTAATAAATAATATATTCTTACCTAAAGCTCAGTCATGATGTTAGGTATTTAAAATTCTTAAAGACATGAAGTTATTTATTAGTGGTATTTTTATGTTGTCTTATTTTAGCCAAGCTTCTGTATCAAGCTAAAGTCCTGTGAATGCAATAGTATCCTTTATAGGCAAACATTATTGGTAAACAAGATCCTGCCCTCAAATGAAATGATTTATATGTTTAAAAAAAAAAACCTACTTGGTTTTATTGAATTTTAAAAGATAGGTAAATAGGTAGCATTTAAAATCAAGATAGAGCATTCTTTCTTGTATCAATGGGGCAGTGATATCGTAAACACAGCGTATATATTAACCACTTTGAAGAGTAAACAGCTTAGACCAGACTGCTTCTCTCAGACATGTGGCTGATATTTTGTGGATATCTTCTGTGCACTGGCAAAACACTTTGCTTTTGGGTGTTTGACTGATATATTTTAAGAATATTTAATCTTGACAGTATTCTATTTCACACTTAGATGGAAAATGTATCTTATGAATAGAGATGTATTAAAATAATGTTTACATCTTAGAAAAAACAGAAATAGTGCTAGTACTTTTACTTATAATTGCAATATAATATAGATTCAAAAATACATTTTCATTGTCCAAAATCAGCTTAAACAAATGGTTTCTGGAAATAATTTGTTTTCATTATTCTTGTGTAATTAGAATTACGAGTTAATGATTTATTTTCTGATACCAAATGTGCAATTTCTAATCACTAGATAACATTCAGTATCAGTGGTGGCTACTTATTGCTTATCTTAAGTCAAAAGAAGGATCTTATAAAATTAATAAATTTAATTTTACCAATAAATATTTCCAAAATTTAGAAAAAGATGTCAACTTGCTAATTTCAGAATTAATCATTCATTTTTTTAAATGCCCTTTACTTTTAAACATGTACATGTAGATTGGTATAATTTTAATGAAATGTCTTTTTTGTTTGTTTTCAGTGGCCCAAAGATTGTATGTCTTAGATAAACTACTTGAACTTCAAATTTCAGATGAGGCAGCATTTTCTTGAGATAATTACTCAAATTTCTTCTTTGCTGAATGGAACAAAAATATCTCTGTGAAACTAACAGGAAGATATTTTCACATAACTGGATAACTTGTTGCTTTAATTAAATGTTACTCAGCCTAATTGGAGAGTAACAAAGGCTAGTATAAAAAGTAACCATTTCATTTTAACTATTATTGTATTTTTAGAAAGTCTTTACAATACTTGTTTCAAAGAACCAACAGAAAAACAAAACAAAACAAAACAGAAAACTACGAATCAACAGAAAAAAATTAAATTTAGAGTAAGAATATTTCTTTAATTTATCCTTTTTATGGTTTGGATTAAAACATTATTAAATTTTTATAAACATTTTGATTAAATGTGATCTTCATTATTTTAACACAGGAAAAGAAAAGATTTAGCAATTTCTTATCTTGCTAAGATGTAAAGTTTGCCATCTGGGCATTTAAGAGCTATCCCCAGCCCCTCAGCAATATGTATTTGAATTCACAATGTTTCTGTTTTACAGCAGTTTTGAAAAGCATATACTGTGCCACCAATTGTCATGTTACTTTTAGATGATGTAAGATAACCATCAATAATAAGTACTGCCTCAATATTTGGTATGTAAATGTCATGAAATCGTCATTTTCACATTAAAGGTGAAAAAAAAATCAACTTTGCCAGATCATTTATTTTATACAAGAGACTATATTTATTCTGACTTAGACCAAAACTCAGTGTGTTTTTGAATTATCAGTAATTTTTTATGAGGAACTTTGGTAAAACTTGGTTTAATATTCACTATTGCCATACATATTTGAGGCTTTTAGCTGTGGTTTGGTTTTGCTATCTAAACACTGGTATCTTAAAACAGATTTCTTGCAGCTGATATATTTAGTTGAACTTCAGCTCCCAGTGGTTTTCTTGCTTTGTCTATTTTCCTCTGGCATATTTTTATAAAACTTCTTCCAGGAAAAGAAAGTAATTACTTATGTAGCTAAATAGAATAGAGGTTTATTTAGTACTATTTTTAATGTGACTTCAGTTTAAAGAATTCTAATCCTGGATGCTTTATGATTTACATACAGCAAAACTATTCCCTCACTAATTCTGAAAGGGTAAACTATTTGCCTGTAAAGGCAGCTTATGTGTTTTATTTTATAACTGGATTTATATATAACTCAGAGGTGTCAAAAATGAAAGTAGACAACCTGTTACTTAAGGCCTCTTTCAAAGTCCCGCTTAGAAGAAAGTGATTTATTTCTTGTTAAAATTTCAAGTTTTAAAAATTACTAGGGAAAAACACAAATGTTTATCTTTAAGCAGTTATCATTCCTTAAGATATTAAATATCTTGCCATAGCTTTTCAAGTCTAGTTCACGTTTTATTGAAAAATTAAATATAAACAAGTGACAAAGTAAAAGAACAAAATTTCTTTTATGACTATTAACAACTTAAACAAATTCATTTAACCTACCACAATTACTGTTATATCCAACAGTAAACTGGATATTGTTTTGAACTCGTTTGTTTTTTTGGTGCCTTAAGGATTCATCGTTATTGAGCTACTGTGGTACAAAAAAGGTTTTCAGTATTTGAACTGTAAAGAAAGACCCCTTTTCATTAGGAGGCCTTTAAAATTTAAAGACAAATATAACAAAACCTTATTCTGTTTCTCAACAATCTTCTTCTTAATTTTTAAGTTACTTAGTTGGTATCCTATGAATACAATGCATCTTTTCAACGAAGGAAAAAATTTAATACAATTTTGTGTTTTTGTTTGGAATATAGACCTTTTCTTAGTTTATTATATATAAACACATTTTCAAACACAAAATGCTGTCTGAAATTAGTCACTGCAATTTGATATTCAAAGCATAAATACAATTTTCCTTGCAAATAAAGATCATAAGAAAATACATTTTAATAGAGTGGAATTAAAAAATTTTAGAAGGATGTAAATAAGCAACAATTTCTTCAACATTGGATACATTTACAACGGACTTTGGTTCTATTCTTTGCCATATGCATCTTACAAATGAGTCACCATTGTTCCCTTAAGTCTGACACAATTGCTCTTCACTCTTACTGGAAACTTTTCTAGATCACTGTTATGAACAGTGCATTGGACACTAATTTATTTTAGCTGCACAAACTCTGGTAGTTAATGACCCTTTCTCTTTCTCCAAAATTGCAAAGACTTCTTTTCATCGGACAGAGAGGAAAAGAGGAAGAAAAAAAAAATATATATATATATATATAAATAAGCTGCAATTTTCTGCTGAATTTAAACTCTGATCTAAAGACACTATGCAAATGGCTTATGCTAAAGAGGAAAATACCCTTTCTCCCCCGACGAGAAGTGTAGCTTCCTCCAAAACCCCACACCGCTCGTCTTTGCTGCTAGAGGCACAGCACGGGCGTAATTTGTGGTTGTGTTTTCGCTAGTTTCTTACCTCCGGGCCTTCTTTATAGCTTTGCCCCCCACCCCACCGGCGGAGGCGCCCCCGCGGCTGCACCCTCGGCCGCCCGTTGGCTGCGGGGCCTGGCGGCTCGCGCGCACTCCCCGCGCCGCGTCCCGCACGCGCGCCCCCGCCTCCTCCCGGCCGGGCCGCTCCGCCGGCGGCGGCGACTGGGCGGCAGGTAGCCAGCCAGCCAGCCGGCCGGCCCCGGCCGGTAACCCATGGCAACCGCCCTGGTAACCCATAGCAACTGCGCTATGGAAAAGGAAAAAAAAAAAAAAGCTGGTGGAGGGGGGCGGCGGGTGGTGAGTGGGAACAACAACAACCACAAAAAAAAAAAAGACAGCGATTTACAGCCCGGCCCGCAGCTCCCCGGCCCCACCTGCTGCAGACGCGGGCACGCGGGCGCCGGCGGCGTTAGGACGGCCCCTCTGGCCGCCGGGGGGAAAGACAGCGACAACGATAACGCTCTAAGGCCGAAGGGCTTCGGGGCAGCGGGTCTGGTGTGGGAGGCAGCTTCGCATACTGACGCCCCGCGGCCTCCGGGTTCCCAGGCTGGCGGGGCCCTCCGGGTGGCCAGTGCGCGTGCAGCGGGCCGCCGCCCGACGGCGGGGTGCGGGCGGCCGCGCTGGGGCGGGCGGGGCGGCGTCCCCCAGCCTGGGCCGGCCCGCAGCCTTTGTTCTGCAGACGCTCGCGCCGCGCCGGCCCGGGCGTGGCTGAGCCCCGGGGGGTCCCCGCGGGCGCCCGCGGGCGCGGCGGGGCTGCGGGGGAGCCGCCCGCGTCCCGGGTGTTTTCAAATGCACGCGAACCGCACACAGGAGTTAACCCCGTTCCCCTCCAGTCCGCCCGGGAGCCTAAAACCTGCCCCGTGGGCGCGCCGTCGGCTTAACCTGCTCCCCCGCCCCTCCCCCATGTCTTGAGCGGGGACGACAGTCGCGCCTGGTGGCGGGACTGGGCCCCCTGGGAAGAAGTGCGTGCCTCCGGGCCCAGAAGCGGCCCTGGGCCAGGGTGGTACGTGTGCGTATTGGTGGGTACAGGCGGGAGGTCCGAGCTCCCCACCCACCCTGTTAGCCTTGGGGCCCAGAAGCCCAGCTGTGTTCTTTGCCCCAGAAAAAAAGAACCGCGCGGCCGGTGACATCGGGTGCAAGGCGGCCGGAGGACAGAAGGGGGCGCTGGCGGGCCGGCGCAGCGGCTGCAGCCCCGTCTGGAGTCCGGCCGCCTGGGCTCTGGCTGTCTCCTGCGCGGGGGAGTGGTACTAGGCTCCCAAGTAGAAAGAGCCTGCTCCCCACATGGGTTTCAGAGTGTGCTTAGGAACATCACTTGCTCACTCGTGTATTCGTAAAAACCCTGTCCCGCAAGAAGATGATTCGGGAAACACAACCGGAACTGTTTCCCTTTGGTACACAGCACCCCAGCGTGCATGAAGGTCCACCAAGAGGTGTAGCGGGGTGACGAGGGACTGCACTAGGAATCTGGAGGTTGCAGATCCAGGTCGAGTTCTAACTAGCTGTGATTCCAAGCATATTTTGATGTTTTTTAAAAGGAAAAGGCTTGGCCTGGATGCTTTTGAAGTCCTCTGACACTTCAATTATTCTACTCTCTGCAGGTGTGTACCTAAATCCAAATAGCAAAGCTATCAGGAACATCTTTTGAAGGCAAAGACCTATGCAAGTATAATATAGACCCACTTGTCTAGTATACTTCCTGAAAGGTGATTAAATCAACTGTGTTTCATATAGCTTATACTTTTACTGGTAGACAAAGGAAGTTGGCTATGTAAAGAATCTTATTTTAATGTTTCATATAGAGACAAGAATCTTAGCTCTCAGAGAAAGCGTTTATTTTCCCAAATATGCACATTCTGGGTTCTGCTGCCTACAGAGCACCCAGTCCCGGGGCATCTGTGTGAACTGTTAAGAGGTAAAACACGGACACTTGCCTGGCCTGGGATCTATGCAGTGCACTCCCAACCCTCTTGCATAGCGGTGTACTGGGAGCCCTGTGCTTTCATTTAATTTTTTTTTTTAACAATAGCAATTATAGAAAAGTGCAAATTTAACGTGTGACATTTAACATTTTGCCGTGGCAGGCAGCCTCCACTTAAATGGGGCCTTTCTGCGGAACAACAGGAGCCAAAAGGCCTTGTGTCATGGAGTAATGTAAGACACAATCTGAGCTGCAAACGCACAATGAATCGGGAAGGATTTATGTAATTAATTGACCAGTCTTAACCTGTTATCGTGATGTAAGGAATTTGGAACTCATTAATTTGGGCTCTGACAGATTTCATATTAGAGCTGGCAAATATGGATTGAGCCTCTTATTCTTGTAGCAGCTGGAATTTCCATGACAGTGAGGATTAGTGAAGAAGACCTATTGCTGGAGTCAAACTGCCTCTTTGTAATCAGTAGCCCTGCTCTGCATTAAAGGGATAATGAAAAAAAAAAAGAAGAAGAAAAAAGCATATTACCTGGCCGAGGTTAGCAGTAGGGCCCTGTGTTCATTCTGCTAGCATGAGGGTTGAGCTCAAACATTTGCAGTTGAATGAAAACATTAATTTCAATCATAAAGTTAGCTGATTTCTCAAGCACCTTGAGAGAAGAGAAAGTAGAAGGGTCTCAGGGTCAGGTTTGGTATTGTTGTCAAAGTTAAAAAGGGATTCAAAGACAGAGCCTTTGAATTTCCTCTATGTGCACACAGAGATTGTACGAAGAAGGTAATAGAAGTCTTACGAGGGGCAAACAGGATTTTTTTGTAATGTCATAGCCATAAATGAGTTCAGAGCCCTGAAGGAGAGACTGGCTTTCTCAGGAACCACTTCCTGTCTCCTGGTCAGAGCACTTTAGCAGACCCCATGAAACCCAGGACTCACATAAAGAGCATTTAGCTCATTTAGTCAATAATCTAATCTGTGTCCTCTTTATGTGATATGATGTTTAAAGAATCACCCATTTGAAAATGCCCAGTTTCTTATTTGAGATTTTAAGAAAACTCAGTAAAAAAATCTAACTTTCATTTTTCCCTCCCCTGACAATCAGAAAATTGCTAGGTTGAAAAAAAGGTCCCGTAGATTAAAGGAAATGGTTTTTCTTTTTTTTTGCTTCCTTCACAATAGTTTCCCTTTATTGCTGTACTATGTGATAAGGTTAATATAACAACTGCCATAAGGATCATTAATACAGGAAGATAAGCAAAGTTGCACGTTTAAAACATTTGCAGGGAATCATTTACCTCCTTCTGCTGATAAAGAAGCCTTTGGTAACAAATACAAAGCTCAGGCTCTGAATATTTAACTTTCCAGACAGAAAGCCCATTGACCTTTCCTAATATGTTATTACTCATAAATGCTGTTTAAATTTGGGTACTGACTGCTTCTGAATTATATTTATTTAATTTGTATATTGCCTTTTAAAATTTCCAGTCAAACATAATTTACATTTTAATATAACAAATATTGTTATAAATCTTTGCAAAAACAGAAAGATCTCCAAAGCTCCTTTCCCTCTCTTTTTTTTTTGGGGGGGGGGGATCTTGAATCAACCAAATTCCAAAGTAAAGATTTTTTTTTTAAGTTAGTGATAATGGGATTTGATCTATCAATGAAGTACTTGGTACAAAGATTTGTTTGCGATTATCTTGTTCACAAGTGATTTCTTCAGCTTTGGCTCCATTTAAATGAATACATAAAGACAAATGCTAGAAATCTGCATCAATATATTAATGTTATCCTTCACATTGAGAAAAAAAAAGAGAGCTAGTAGTTGTTATTGGTATTATTATTTCAGTGGGAAGGCAATGAAGATAAACAACTGGTATCAGCAAGGCTTGGATAACTAGTGTAAACCATGACAAGGGCGATTAATAGTGTATATAAACACACTTCAAGTTTATATACAAGATCTCAGCTCTCACCTAGGGATTTCTTTGTATTTTTCTTTTAAAAGAGTGATTTGTAAGTTGGCACCTCCCAACCTCTCTGGATCTCAGTTTACTCATCAGTACAATAAAAAGATTTGATACAGAATGTCCTAAAGGCAGCGGTCCCTAACCTTTTGGGCAGCAGGGACTGGTTTCATGAAAGACAGTTTTTCCATGGACTAGCAGGGGGATGGTCTCGGGATGATTCAAGCACATTACATTTATTGTGCAGTCAAACCTCTCTGCTAATGATAATCTGTATTTGCAGCCGCTCCCCAGTGCTAGCATCACCTCCTCAGCTCCACCTGAGATCATCAGGCATTAGATTCTGCATGCGCAGTTTGCAGTAGGGTTCCGGCTCCTATGAGAATCTAACGCTGCCGCTGATCTGACAGGAGGCGGAGCTTATGCGGTGATGCGAGTGATGGGGAGGCTATAAATACAGAGGAAGCTTCCCTTGCTCTGGCGGCTCACCTCCTGCTGTGTGACCCAGGTCCTAACAGGCCACAGATCAGTCCTAGTCCGAGGCCTGGGGGTTGGGGGCCACAGCTGAAGGTGTTCTCTAAATCACTAGTTCTGAGGGACGCTAATAAATATTACTAGAAAAGGCAGGGATGTGGTAGGATGGTTTCCATGGTCAATTACATTTCAGACGCATTGAGTTAAACAAAGTTTAACGTTAATCTTCGGCAGGACTTCTCAGGGCCTTTCATATATTAATGTTCATTGTGAATCTCTCTCGAATTCCTGACCTCAAGTGCTCTTCCCGCCTTAGCCTCCGGGGAGTGCCAGGGTAGTAATAGGCGTGAGCCACCGCTCCCAGCCTCACTGTGAATCTCTAAGTGTGTGCTTGTGTGGGGGCACTATGTGCACTTTTCCTAAACTGATTCAAAGGAGAGAGGCTAAACTTCTGTGTTCCTTTGAATCTAAATATTTTGGGTTTCTTCTCACAATGATTGAGGAGCACTTGCATTCCCTCTAGGTGATCATGAGGCCAAGGTGTGGGGCAAGTGTGTGGATATCACTAAATGAGGATTCCCTTTCAGAGACCGGGTTCTGTAGACAGGCAGGCAGTTTGGTGTGAAATTTCAATTTCAGTTTCATTGCTCACACCTGGGGAAAGTCACTTATCCTTCTGGAGTTTGTTTTCATGTTGTAAACATGACAGTAATACTACAACATGGGGGTGGGTGTGAGGTGCAAATGAAATCGCTGCGTGTCCCCTCTGCTTGGAGAGGTCTTTTCCATTCCCCCTCCCAGTGAAGGCCCTCTTGCTCAGCTAATTCCTGCTAGTTGTTCAGGACTCTGGTTCAAAGTCATCTCTGCTCAGATGCCCACTCTGACCACACCCATGACAAGTCAGGTGCCGGTTCTCAGTGTTTCCTAGCACAACCGCCTGGCGTTGCCACGTGTCTTTCTAGTAGCCCTGCACTGCATGGTTGGGTCACCTGTCTGTCCCTTTCTTCTGGCATAGTTCCTGGAGGGTGAGGACTGCATTTCATCTCTGGCCTCCTCCTCCCTGCCCCTGTCCCCAGCCCACAGTTTAATACAAAACATATTCTGGAGTCCACGATGCATTACTGGCATGTGGTAGGCAAAAGGCCCACAGACCCTTCCTGAAGCTCCCTTCCTGTGGTAGAACCAGCCAAAGCAGCAGAAAGAGAGTTTAGAATATGGTATT